AGAGAGAGAGAGAGAGAGAGAGAGAGAGAGAGAGAGAGAGCGAGAAAGAGATGGTGATATGATGTTATCAGTCTCGGTGGCAAACAGATCCCCTGCATGTGATTTTGTAATGGGGTATCATTACTTTTTGAGCTTATTTGCAGCCTTTCATCACATTCACAGTAATTTGACTAATACAACTTTTAAGAAACAGACTAACAAGGAGCGTAGAGACAAGAGAGGCGTTGTGACGGAGAAGCGACACAACATCAGCAGAGGAAAAGAGAAATAAAAGTCCAGCTCCCAGATTTCTGTCCATTTGAGGGGGCGTGGCCATCCGCGCAACGTCACTGATGGTTATATAGGCTGCAGCTGTGTCGGCGGGCTCGCGCTGCTGAGACAGGCAGAGCACTGAGGACCGGTGGCGCGCGCTCATAGACTCCCCTCTCAGCCACTCACACCCCAAACAAAGAGAAGCACGCGAGGCAGCACAGCATCCCACCCTTTCAGCCGCGAGCTCACCAGCAGAACCGTCCCCCCCTCATCCCTCTTTAGACAGAACCGGTCCGGTCCGAGGCTCGAGAGCACAGAACCGACGATGACAACTAACGGCGCGACTAACGGAACCAGCGACATGCTGCAGATCCAGTTCGGTCTGATCAACTGCGGGAACAAGTACCTAACGGCGGAGACCTTCGGCTTCAAAATCAACGCGTGCGCCTCGTCCATGAAGAAGAAGCAGATCTGGACCCTGGAGCAGAGCGGCGACGACTCCAGCGGCAACGTGTTCCATCTCAAGTCACATCTGGGCCGGTACATCGCCGCCGACAAGGACGGAAACGTCACCGGAGAGAGCGAGACCCCGGGCCCGGAGTGCCGGTTCGTCATCACCGCCCACGACGACGGCCGCTGGTCCCTGCAGTCCGAGCCGCACGGCCGCTACCTGGGCGGCACCGAGGACCGGATCATCTGCTTCGCCCAGACTGCCTCCGTGGCGGAGAAATGGAGCGTGCACATCGCCATGCACCCGCAGGTGAACATCTTCAGCATGACGCGCAAGCGGTACGCGCACCTGAGCGGCAAGGCGGACGAGATCGCCATCGACCGGGACGTGCCGTGGGGGGTGGACTCCATGATCACGCTGGTGTTCCGCGAGCAGCGCTACCACCTGCAGACCTCCGACAACCGCTTCCTGAGGAACGACGGCGCGCTGGTCGCCACCGCGGACAAGAGCACGGGCTACACGCTGGAGTTCCGCTCCGGCAAGGTGGCGTTCAGGGACTGTAGCGGCAAGTACCTCGCGCCTTCTGGGCCCTCCGGCACCATGAAGTCCGGCAAGAGCGCGCGCGTGGGCAAGGACGAGCTGTTCGTGCTGGAGCAGAGCCACCCGCAGGTCGTCCTCACCGCCGCCAACGAGAGGAACGTCTCCACCCGGCAAGGTGGGTGTAAAGTGTTGTGTGTGTGTGTGTGTGTGTGTTGTAGGCCTGGTGGTCCTACGGGTGACCCCATTGTGTGAGTGTGTTGGTATCTGATCCTCTTGCTGAGGAAGGGTTAAAGTGATGGAATGTCAGAATGCATCCCCCCCTGCAGCCCACAGACCCACACACACACACACTAAAGGAGGATATGGGCATGTTAACGGCCTACATGTTCACACACTACACCGGCCTAAGTCTGTATTTACACATGGTCAACAATGGCTTGTTTGATCAGAGGCCACATCCCTACGTGTACCAGCACATCCTTAAAAACACCAAAGGCTTGTAATCTGTAGAAGAGCAACTCACTGGAATTAAAATAAGATCTGATAGAGGCACACTGAGTATATGCATGTTAGCTGTAAGCGTTTTCAGTGAATTTTACAGACAGGCGACATGAAAAGAGTGCTAACAAAGAAGTGCGCGGAGACCTCGGCCCTGTGAACACACACTCGGCATCGTGTGCCATCATTCAAATGTAAAACAGCCTGAAGCTGGCACAAAGCAGAACGGCTTTGGAGAGGAAGGATGCAGTTTGAACGCCTTAAAAACCAGTAAAATGTTACTAAAATGATGTGTAAAGTCCTTTAATCCAGATGTTTTAGAAGAATGGAGACTTGGCTGCTTTAAGAGTCTTTTGAAGAGTGAATTTCACTTCTCGCACTTGATTTAAAATGTAAAACCTTAGTCATCACCAAACAGAACGTCTATGATGGCATGGCAACCCCAAATCCACATGATCCTCTGAGCCCTTCAGACACATTCATGGTTCCTCAAATAGTTCAGATATTAACTGGTTAATAAAGTTTTTTTTCACATTAGATCTCTGTGTGTGTGTGTGTGTGTGTGTGTGTGTGTGTGTGTGGTTGTCAGCTGTCAGAGTGGGCAGAGATACAAGCTTGTCCCTCCACCTCCTTCCTTCCTTTTTCTTCCCTCCTAACTTTTTCCATCTCTTCCTCGCCCTCACCCCCTTTCACCTTCGCTCACTTTGCCTCCCTTCTTTAAAACATTATTTTTTTCCATGTCTTTCGTCATTTCCTAATGCCGTCTCCTCCCCCCTCCCCCACTCCTCCCGGCCTGGCTGTTGTGTGTCTGAGGTTGTGACACACAGTGGCATCCCTCATGTTGACGATTGAAAACATTAATCAGAAGCCCTTACATTTAAGGTCCCAGTGATAGTGTGCATCATGCTCTAAAAAACCTCTTCGAGTCAGCACAGCTCTGACTGTCGGCTGCAATGCATGATGGGAACACACACAGTGACGCTCTCTGAATCTATGTTTAGTGTCTGGTGAATGTTTAGTGGTTCTGCCTCCTCTTTTCACAAAGTATGACTCTTCTTTCCTTTCACTTTCTGCTCTGTCACACCCCGAGCCTGTTTTTGTTCTGCCTCCCAGCTTTGTTTACTTGTTGACGGGGGATTCATCCACATGTCTCTCCATCAGCTGTTACTCCTTATTCCCCACACGCTCGGTCTCAGACACAAAATGGAGGCCAGTTTTGAAGCCTGAGGTTGAATAACGAGGGTCAAGCCATAAGCCAATGAAATGCTGCCGATTATAAAAACAGATCTGTTGGAATTACACGATGACGTTCTCCGTACTGAGAGCATGAATTTCACTTTAATAACACCCGGTGAAATATTAGATTGCTGCCTGTGGGACGTTTTGCCCAAATCAGATTATGACTCGAGTGCCGCGGCAACATCCTGATACGTACTACGAGCAATCTGTTGCATGTGCAACCTCGTGTGTGTGCAGAACTAGTTAAGACATCAGGGCTGATGTGTTGCCTTGACATATCAGAGCTGCTGTAACAACATGTTATATGGGTGCACCGCTAATCAGAGGTCAGTAACTGTATATGATGCCTTGCTCAAGGACACTTGTGCAGTTGAAGCCACATCCTCTTCACAGCCCTGCAGCTCAAACCTGTTTAAAACGAGCAGGAGGTCTGAATCTTTAGAGGAAGACCATGTCCCCCCCCCCGTCCAACAACTGGATCATTGTGATGTGGATTAACTGTTGAGGGGAATTAAACTAGCTCCAGATGTTTTTTTAAAACAGACAGCTGCTCTAAAGCCATTTTTCTGGCAGACCTCGGCCAAGATGGCAGCTGAAGCTGAAGCCGGCTTTCACTAGCGACTTAAGGTTTGTGGGTCGGTCCCTAAAGCTCTAAAATGACTTTATTTGGAAGTTTCCACCTCTCTGACTGCTCGTGGTGTTCTCATTTACTTCACTGAACCTCTTCTGCATCCCAACACCTCCATAATAGAGCTAGTAAATAAAAGGATGTAAAATACAATGCGAACAGATGGGAAAGATTGCCACACTAATAAAACCCATGTTGTACAAAAATGGCAGCATTTTCCTTTAAGTAGCTCTAATTGACAATATTAACATGCCTCATTTAACACCCTCAGTTTGGAGTCCATCTCACCTAATTTGGTTGTAATATGTGGAAACTCTTAAACTCCGTCAGTGTATTTTATTTCTGTCATCATCGCTTCTTCACTTCCTGACTCACTAATAACTGGAAAAGAGGCTTTTCATGAGCCAACATGTTCACATTACTTCACACGTGTCGTGTGATGCAATGATTTGGGATTATTTTTTGAATTTCAACCAAGACCATTAAATTATTACGGTATTAATTTAAGCGTGCAGTCTCATGTAGGGAACTACCAGAAATGAGTGTAATTTTCACATAGATTCCACATTACATCACTCTTCTTCTGCTGTCCTCACACTGGTCATTAATCTGACTCTGAGCTGCTGCTCGTTTCCTCACCATTACATCCTCTTCCCTGGAACATGGATGGTCACAAACTCCCTGAGAGACTGCAACGGCCCTCATGTGGCCCCAGACACAATCATCAGTCCGTTAGCCTGCAGTTCAACGGCCTTTTTAAGTGGCCTCTTCTGCCCCTAAAAGTGAGAGTGAAGACTGAGCGTGGGCTAAAGGATGAGAGGCCATCGTATCCTGTCGGCTGCTGGTGTGACCGCTGAGCGAGGGTCCTCTCTGCCTCTGCATGCACAGAAGCAACAGTGAGGAGATGAAAATCCTGTGGTGACGAAAAACTAGGTGCTTTTAGTTTGTAATTGTTGTATTAGTTAAATCTAAATATCTCTATATTCTGTTAGTCGCAACTGGAACCAGACAACTCTGTCGTGGTGCGTTCACTTGCATGTGCACAGGCGTCGTTTTTAGAGACGATGGCGGCAAAGCAAATTGCGTTTTTTAGACTGTGGTGTGAAAAGTTCTACTAACACGTCAACGTCATAAACGAATGTGTTGATTGATTCAACTGGCAAACAACCAGACGAACATGGACGACAACCAAAAGCCGATGCCGAGTTGCCAGTCTGGCATTTACTTTTAAAAGTTGGTGTTGAGCTCTGCTGAGCTAACCGGCTGCTGGCTGTAGCTGCAGATTTACTGCACAGACATGAGTCATCAAACTCTGAACAGTAAAGAGAATGAGCATTTCCAAAATGTCAAACTACTCTTTAACAACTGACCTTTGCAAGTTACAGTTAAAACAACCATTTGTTCAGATTACTGCTGGAAACCAGCTCACAGTATGCAGCTGATGGTGAGAGCAGGAGACAGAAACTGAGGCTCCATGTTGTGTCTGGCCAGGATTCAGCCCCGACACCCTCCCCCCCCCGCTGGCAGGAAATGAGACACACAACTCCGACCTTGGCTGGTGTGTGTGTGTGTGTGTGTGTGTGTGTGTTAATCCCTGCAGGGTAGAGGGCGACAATTTGCTCCATCTACAGCACATCAACACACGCATTCACCCGTCAGGGACGCAATCAGTCCATTCATCCTTGGTAATGTTGACTGTCTGCGACAGCGTGTGCATGCTGACGCTTTAATGTGTTTATAGGCCTTCAGAGAGTGTGTGTGTGTGTGTGTGTGTGTGTGTGTGTGTGTGTGTGTGTGTTGGGAGCGTGCCAGGGGAGCTGCCTCATGTCGACAGCACCGTGGAGCCTCTCCTCCCTAATGTCCTCTACTTTATTATAGGTTAGACTTCTGTGTGTCGCTCTGCTCTGGGTGTGTCTCCAAATTATTCTCCTCTAACTCACAGTCAGACCGTTCTTCAGTCCAGTTTTTTTAGTTTGCTCTACACTGAACACAGAATGAGGTTGAAATCAATTTACCAAAAGATTTGGGGCATCCTCGGGCACAATACTGTATCTCGCATGTCTGACCCCGTTTTTGTTTTGCACTTGTTAGTGGAAGTGGGAGTATTACAGTAGTGTGTGTGTGTTCAGTTTGTACTGTATGAGCAGCAGTGGTACAGTATTTAGTGTGTAGGCTGCTGTCATCTCTCTCTCTCTCTCTCTGTCTCTGTATATATATATATATATATATGTGTGTTTGGATCAGAACAAAGGCTGATGATCTGTCTCCCTGTTTGTGCCCCAGCTGGTCGCCTCCTCAGTCCGGCCTGCTGAACAATAGGACACACAACTGCACTTGATACAATGGCGTGCGTTCACAGCAGGCCTCCGGTGCTGGCTCACAGTAACAGAGGCCAACAATCTGTGCCTGCCGCCATCAGGCAGAATGTGGTGGGTGGGTTGGACAGAAAGATAGAGGGCTTGTTATGGAGCGTGTGTGTGTGAGTGTAGGCCTCTGTGTTTGGTGTGGTTTGGGTGGATTCTGGATGTGTGTGGTCAGTTCTTCTGATGTGGTTTTCTGAAGAGGGATGCTGAGCTTGTGTGTAAGTGACCCTCTTCCCTCCACCTCCATTAACCCTGTGAGCTGCTCAAAGTGATCAGCATAGACATATCTGGGCATATAGCACGCACGCACGCACGCACACACATACAGAGATGAAGCCTGACAGGCAGCCTTGGTCTCTGGGTCACGGCTGAGGCTGTACAGGCCTTGGGGTGAGTGTTTTGTCTCTGTCAGTCTTGTATTTTCATCTTGTGTGTACCCACCAGTGTTTTTCTTTCCTTGTGATAACTCGGTGTGTGTGTGTGTGTGTGTGTGTGTGTGTGTGTGTGTGTGTGTGGATCAGACACTAAGCCTTTGACTGTAGTGGAAAGAGACGAACACTTCCTCCTATCCACTGACAGACTAGTCAAATATCATCCTAAATTCTTCAAAACATTCAGGCATGTAAATGTTGTTGACAAGTGGAGTAAAAGCCTCTTTGACAGCACTGAAAAGACTCGCCCACGTGAATTCAAATAAAATGATTTTTGGGGAATAATTTATTCAAACCAGCTCGGTGGAGGAAACGGTGATAATCGGTTCACAGTACAGCATGTAAAACGTGTCGTTTGTTAGTTTCCTGGTTTATTTTCATATAGGGAAATGTTTTCTACTTCCTCTCATGTAAGAGAAACTGTCAGGATGATGACTGACTGTATAGTGTATATATTTTGTGTGTGTGTGTGTATATAGGGTTAGATATATATATATATATATATATATATATATATATATATATATATATATATATATATACACACATACACACACACACACACACACACGTGTTGAGATTTTAGATGTTGAAGTCTGAACAAAGAAAAATGGAATAAAAATGATTTTAGGGTGAAGTAGCTCTGTCGGGCCAGAGCGTCTCATTCAATGACAAAGATCGATACCGCTCTCTGATGTAGAATCATGAATAGAACATCGGAGCTCATTTTTCCTCTGACCTTTTGTAGCATTAAGGAATAAACTAGCTCATGGCGTAGGTGAGTGAGTAGAGGTATAACATCAGCACGTGTTTACATCTCTCTGGTGCTTCTGTCCTGAGCGGACGTGTCGGAGGGTTAGAGGAGAGTTCAGTGATGTGACTGATGACCCTCTTTTCTCCTCATGTGTCCTCCTCTGCTCCTCTAAGGCGTTCCTCTAGTCTAAACTCTCCTTGTCTGCTGCAGCTTCGCTTACATTTCATCTTGTTTCACCTCCTCCCCCTCCGCACCATGTGGTTCTCATTATGGTCACTTATATTTTCCTTCTCAATCATCAGCGTGCGTGTGTGTGTGTGTGCGCGCAGCTCCACATATTTCTGCAGAAACTCAATCCTTCCACTGAGGCCCGAGTTAGTTGACTTTAGCGAACGCTCGACAGGAGAGAAGTTTTCTTTCCTTAGTGACGAACTCCTTACGTAACACTTTTCTGTCTTACTTTTGATACGAAGCACATCTTTGGCTTCAGTTGGAGACGAGCAGCGTACAGCTTGTATTAAGACACCGTGTGTTAGGAAGGATGTTGTGAAACTATTGTGGGACTGTCTGAAAGTTATGGGACTGGAGAGCAGGGCTGGACTTTATGTTTACGTTTGTTAAAAACAAAGCCCTCCTCAGAGTCACTCATGTTTACTTTATTTACTCCATTTGATTTAGAAATATACTGCAACAAACATGTCAACGCTATCTCTGTTGGTACGAATGTTTAATAACTCACATTCATGTTTTTCACTGACACATTAACACAAAGAGCAACCACTTCATAATATCTGAAAAAATGAAACCTGTAAATAACCAACACTTGCTCCCAAATTCCTACTGTTTTAAGCAAAAACGGAAAGTCCCATCAGCTGAAAAACATCACAACTATAGAACCTGTTTCCAATTTCGAGACGCACGATGACATCGTTCATCATCGTGAGCCTTTTAGGGCAGATTATTTTCTTTTAATGTAGTCAACATTTGAGCCGGTAGTGAGGCTGAAGCAGAACAAGAGAAAACTGGGGGAGAGCATCGTGCATGAACAGAGAGACGGACGGAGGACACATGAGCGCTGGTTTGGTCTCTCAAACGCGTCTTTCTTTCTCCCTCTGCACACATTTACACAGAGAGTCCATGTTTCTCTCTATTCAGCCTCGAGCTATAGGTCCATCCACGCCATGACCTCATATACAATAGCTCGCATTGTGTGTGTGTGTGTGTGTGTGTGTGTGTGTGTGTGTGTGTGTGTGAGAGAGTGATGGGAGCGGTACATCTGTGTGCATCTGTGTATGTCTGCATTAGTTGACTCATGTTTGTTTACCTCTTTGTTGCTCTTAAGTGCTTTAGTGGGGTTGATGAGATTTGAATGAGGTCTGCTGGTCTGTATACATACAGTCTGGTGTATGGAGACACACACACACACACAGAGGCCTTTTCGCAACTCACAGTTGTAGCGATTATTTTCAGTATCGATTTATCCGTTTGGTTATAAACTAAATGTTTTGGCATCGTCATGAGCATGTTGACGTTAGCATTTAGCTCAAAACACCGCTGTGCCTGAATACAGACGGAGACTCCACTGAGAGCTCACCACGGCCCCCCTTCAGGAGACTAGCGGCAGGTTTACTAACTCCAATGGGAGAAGTGAGTGTGAACACAGATTATGACAGATTCTTTCACTCCAAATTCACCAAATCTTATCTCTACTAGCTTTCTAATTTTCGTAATGCAGAATATGGCTTTAGCTATGTCAATATCTAACGTTGGCAAAAGAAAATACAAATACATTATGCAAAGATAACCCAATCTGCTTTCATCCATCAACACGAACACGCAATGTCCTCACACGCGTAGGAGACAGGAAGTGCATGTCATTTCAAACCGCTTGTCATGTATCCTCTTCAGAGTATTTTACAACCTCACAGGGCTGCTAGCATGTTGCTTAATAAATAATCTAAGTAATTGATTATCAAAATAGTTTAAGATACATTTTTTGTTGCCGGGTTAACTCTGTCGGCTCTCTCTGATGCCGTCTCCATTCATTGTAGAAGCCAGTGAAGTGAAGATTATTGTGGCCTTGTGGGTTTTAGTGACCGTCCACCATGACGTCTAATACTTTGAAGTGTGTGTGTGTGTGTGTGTGTGTGTGTGTGTGTGTGTGTGTGTGCGTGTGTGTGTGTGCGTGTGCAGCTGTGTGAAATCCTTCACTAATCTAAGCCCGTCTGATGTTGCTCATTTAGTGCGTCTGATCCCGACCAGAGGATGGGTGTGTGTTTGAAGCCGTTTATGCCTCACTGTGTCTGTGCGTGTGTGTTAATGGTCATCCTCTGCGTCTATTTGTAGCCCTCACATGTGCGTTGAGCTAATGTCTGACCCACTAGCCTGTATTTTAGCTAATCCCCCCCCCCCCCCCCATCTGTCTGACCCCTCTCAGGTATGGACCTGTCAGCCAATCAGGACGAGGAGGGGGACCAGGAAGTGTTCCAGGTGGAGATCTGTCGCGAAAACCGCAAGTGTGCGTTCCGCACCGCCGCTGGAAAATACTGGACCCTGACTGCTAACGGCGGCCTGCAGTGCACCGCCTCCACCAAGTACGCATCACACACACATCACCGCCATGTTGCACGTCTGAAACTTTACAACTCAACACACCTGCTCAAATCTGTCCGCTCACTAACCTCTCAGCGCCAGTGATTGTGTTAGAACCTGATACTGGTCCGTCACAGTCTGTAGTCCCCTCCCCAGTAATGTGAGCTGTGCCATGACGTGTGTGTGTGTGTGTGATGATGGTGTGTGATGATGGTGTGTGTGTGTGTGTGTGTGTGTGTGTGATGATGGTGTGTGTGGTAGATGACGTGTGTGGGAGGTGAAGAGTGAGTGAACTCATCTCATGGCGGTAGGCATGTTGTGGGAGACTAAGTGCATTTGTGAGCAACATCAACCCGTAGAGGCCATTTTCTTTTATGTGCAGCGGGTCTGCTCGGCCAGCTGGCAGTTAACCCCTGACCTCTGACCCCTTCACCCTGTGCTCCCTGTGAGGCCCCGGACAGATTCAGAAGTGGAAGTTTTAGACTTTTATGACGTCCTTAAGCACTAAGTAGAGCACTTGGCTCCTTTTTTGTTGTGTTTTAAAAAAAGGTATTTTATTTTGAGAATCAGTGTTCTTATAGAATACAGAAGTGATGCAGAGCACAACAAATACCTCATCCAGTGTGAGATTAGTCAGAGGGCCATGTGTCCCGAGTTAACCCTCCATGTTTTTTAAAGATAAAACTGAGCAGAGCGCTCTGTAGGAAGTCGAACAAACTCCTCCACAACATTCTTGACATTTGACTCTCCTCACAGATTAGACCACAAACGTCTTCTCTCTCACGTTGTTCTCTTTCAGAGCCTTGAGGGAACATTTTGCAGAGTGTTTTAAGGCTTCTCTCATAAAAGATGCAGGCCGTATGTGGCAGCTACCTGAGAAAATAACACCGTGTTCTGTGCCAAGTGAAAGGATTAACAAGCTACTTGATTCAACTTAACCAAGAACAACAAGAGGAGCTTATCCCTCCACCTCGAGCCGACCGATCCAATTACCCCACAGTTACTTAAGTTCTGGATTAAACAGCTGGGTGTAGTTTTCTCATCAGGTTACACACGCAAGTGTGCTACTGGATATCTACCTGCCGTGTCCATTTAATTATCCTCCTCATCCCCCATGCCTGTACTTTCTCTCTGCAGGTCAGCTAACTGCTACTTTGACATTGAGTGGCGTGGGAAGAGGCTGACCCTCCGGGCCGCCAACGGGAAATACGTCGCCGCCAAGAAAAACGGCCAGCTAGCAGCCACCATCGACTCTGCCGGTCGGTGAGATTTGTTGTTTCAGCCGCTCAGACAATGACTGACTAACTGATTTACCTTTCAGCGGTGATGGAGGGGGGGTTCAATACAGTGCAGGAGTTAAATCACGGCTGTATGTTGGGCCTCAAAGGCTTCAGAACTGATTGTGTTCAACTGTTTACTCTTTGGGGCTTTAGATTTGTTGCAGTCTTTTGCTTCCCTCTTTTGCCATGTTGATGCAGAGTTATTTAATTGGAAGCATCATCACTCCTGAGTGTGCAGAGTCAGCGAGATTGAACGTGTTATTAATTAGTGATCTTTAGAAGACTTATATTTAATGGACAGAAAGCAAATGTACGTACTACTCAAACTATTCCTTTAACAACACCAGCTCATGCAGATGTTACGGACAGCTAATGTGAAGACCGTGCACCGTTTTGCCATGAGAGCAATTGCTTGCATTGCTGCGAGACTCGGGCGTCGTGTCAGCGATAAGAGGAGAAGAAGACGTGGTGGATCAAAGCTGAAGCTTTCACTTTGTGCTGCAGTTTCTGACGAGGGAGCCGTTTGCTAGCACAGCTCTTTTTAGGGCACTTTTGAAGCCAAGATGCTTTGTATACAGTTTTAATGAGATGTAGGAAAACACTGCTCTCAGCTCAAAACATTGAGTGCGTGTTGTGCAGATTTTGGTAGTTTCATTATTAGGGCCAAAGCGTTGTATTTAAGTCACTAAGCATAGAGTGAAACAAACTGTTCAAGTTGTTGCTTCTTCAGTCGTTTTTACGCATGTTGTGCCCTTTCATCCGTCTCCAGGCGAGTCCGAGGAGTTTCTCATGAAGCTGATTAACCGCCCGATCATCGTGCTGCGCGGGGACCACGGCTTCATCGGCTGCAGGAAGGTGACGGGGACGCTGGACTCCAACCGCTCCTCCTACGACTACTTCACCCTGGAGTTCAGAGACGGAGCGTACAGCCTGCAAGGTCAGTTCAGGCGCTCTAACTACCGGCGTCTTGCTGAAGGATATGTTTGCTCCACTGTGGGACGTAAACCTGCACATGAGCAGCAGCATTACAGAGCCAGCAGAGAGGGACCTCCTGCAGGCATACAAGGGATTAAATCATTATGGATTCATGTTTGGGCCTAAAAGAGGGATTTGATATGGATAATTTCCTCGCCTTCACATTTCGCAATTCAAACAAAGCAATTTTAAGCCGCATCTTTTGTTGTTTGCTTTTTTTTTCACACCCTTCCCCCATCTTTCTGCCACATGATGCCCCCTACCCCCTCAACATCTCCACACTAATTTCCCTTTTTTCTGTCTCAAATCCCTCTGTTCTCCTCCCGCAGACTCCACGGGTAAATACTGGATGATCGGTAACGAGCAGTCGGTGGTGAGCAGCAGCGACGCGCCCGTCGACTTCCTGTTCGAGTTCTGCGACTACAACAAGCTGGCAATCCGCCACGCGGCCGACAGCAAGTACCTCCGCGGGGACCACGCCGGCGTGCTGAAGGCCAACGCCGATGACCTGGAGACCGCCACGCTCTGGGAGTACTGAGGGGGAGGTGATGAGTAAAGTGTGGCGACGCAGCACGACCCGTCCATACATCCCCCGCTCCCCCCTCCTCATATTATATCCTTATGACTTTATATGTTGATGAACTGCACAGAGAGAACAGGACGGATAGGAGACCCTCCTTTCCGTCTGTCTATCCCTCCATCTTTTTCCCAGCTCTGTCGACCTTTATCTGTTGCCATAGTTAGCGTGGGGCTGTGCACTTTTTTCTGCTCCGATCTGGTTGGCTGCTCGACCTGTCACTCACTCTCTCCCTCCTCGCCTTAGGATCGGGCCGTCTCCCTCTCCCAGAGCAGAGCCACGTTTTAAGAGCCCCCCCCGTCTCTATTGTCTGTGTGAGCAGCACACGGTGGCAGTGTTTATGCTATCTGACCTGGTCTGCTAGATCTGCTTCTACCTGATCTAATCTTCCAAAAACAGATCCACCACCGGATAAAAATCTGCTTCAGCTGCTTCCTGTTAGCTGGACGCACCACACGGAGACGGTGGGTCTGTCTTTGGCGCGTTTGCATCGCGTAGACCAGGCGGAGTATGTTTGTGTTCATAAGCTGTGTGATGACTCTGTGATATAACTGGATCTGACGATGATAAAGAATATAGAAAATGATGTAACTTACGGGTTTAACCCCCCCACCCCGATTCATCTCACCTGTAACATACTCTAATGTAACCCTGTCTCCTGTGTTGTTCTCTAGCTGTGTTCTCATTGGACCAAACAGGAAGTAGGAAGTTAAAACACGTAACCCCCCCCCCCCCCCTCTCCCACGCGCTAAACCTATTGTCCCGAGAACAGTTTAAAGAAATTAATAATAGAAACGGTGCGGTCACATACTGTATGTTTACTGTACTCACTCGTCGTACTGGAAGAGAACAGCCCTCCCTGAAACACAGTCCAAGGCACAGACGTTATTATGGGTATTTATAGACTCTTTTTGAATCCTTCAACCAAACCTAGACCTCAGCCTTTATCTAGACCAAACCTTTTAATACTGGATTAACAAACCGTCATCTCACACTCACACACACAGACACAGAACTGAGAAAACTGGAACCTGGTGCTACTAACTCATGACATGTTAAGTGTTACGGTCGAGCATCTCGCACCGTCTGGACTAACGGACGGTGATTTTCGGCTGTGTCTCTGCACACGAAGGGGCTGAAAGAGTTCCCTCAATAACCTTAATCTGCTGCTTCTTTAGTTGTACTTTCTGTTTACGTGTCACGATGAGATGTGACCAAGTAGTTTTTCCTTTTTTTTTTTTTGCGTTCCCGACTCGTCCTTTAATTAAGGTAGGACGAGTTTAACTTTACTTTTTAAAAAGGCAAAGAAGCAGACTTTGACTTAGTTGTACTATTTAAAGCTGAGATATCTGCTATGCAGTCGTGTAGCGCAAAGCACCCTTTGGTTCCCTTCAGCCTTCTCCACAGCACACAGCAGCAGTGCTTTATGTCTATTTTTACAACACGGCAAACATTACCTTGGCACTTGGCCCTAAACTATTGGGCTCTTCCACCCACCACCATCATCATCATCAAGCGTTCCTCTGTTGTGAAACCTAAGTATGGTCGTAGCCCCGTGGAATGATCCATGATTGTAGCCAGCTCCTCAACACGTTCTCCCTCTGAAGGTCCGATGACGGCTTGAGAATAAAAGGAGCCGTTGTTTCCTCGGAGGAGGCTGAGACGAGCGGGTGTGGAAGAGTAAACATGTGGTAGTGACTGTGCCTTACTCTCCAGTTTTTGGGCAGTAGGAAAATGAAAGATTAAAAAAAAAAGAATCCACATCTTTGCTTTGTATAACTGGAACTTCTTTTTGTATTATTGTTTTGTATCATTTTTTTGATATTGTGGATTAACCTCTCTTGTGCCATTGGTTCACCTGAAATCCAACGACCAATAAAACTGGGATTAGGAACGCTGCTCGTCTTTTGTTTCTTGTTCTCTTTGCTTGATGACCGATTGTTTCCTTTTATTAAACTACAAAGTAGCCATTTTGTTGGCTGAAATGAGAACTGTCACTAGCGGATATTATTAGCTGTAGCTAATTAAGATAACGTTAGTTAGTTACGAGTTAAAATCTCTCATTCCTGTTCTAAAAGAACTCTTTAAAAGGCTCTTAAATATGTGCTTGATGGATACATACACATTATATGGCACTAAAAGATTGAAGCTAAAGCTACATGTCCCAAACCAAAAGTTGGCATCCTCACGATAGATGAATATCGTGGTAGATAAGTAAAGACGCAGCATTGATCTAGTATTAGTGTAGAACTAGTTGCTGTTCTAGTAATACGCAGTAAGGTACGATTAAGAACCGTTATTCTATTCTAACAATCCTGTTTAGTCACTTAGCTTAATGTTTCACACTTAGACAGCAGGAGGTGAGATTTGTGTTGTATCATATTTCACAATAGTATATTAGCCGGACATGCTAATGTTTGCCGCTCACATTAGAGCCAAAAACACACTTTAACTCATTCCTCACACTATGATTGTACACCTACTAAACACAACGGTGGTCATAGTTCAGCCTTCTCTTGCCCTGCACATTCTATCATTTAATCCTGGTGCTCCACACTTGGTCTCCTGCCAGTTTCTGACCACAGCGGCTCCATGTGCTTTCTCACACACACACACACGGAAACGCACACATTTTTCCTGTCTCCTGAATAGACCCTTTGTGTTGAAACATTTATTCTACTGCAGTGAAAGGGCAACCCCCCCCCCCCACCACCAAAGATTCTCTCTCTCTCTCACGCACGCATACATTCAGGGCGGTAATGTAATGATGGAGCCTCTAGAGCAGGTCTCTAATCCAACTCCCACCACCCGTCAGGCTTGCAGATCCCAGAGGAACACCCAACATGGCAAAACAAACACACCCCCCCTCCGCAGGATCTCCTCCCCTCTGCTGCCTCATGCGTCTCTCTCTGCTTTAACCATCATCCCTCCAGCCTCTCTCTTCCTCTGCATTCTCCTCCCTAATTACCTCCTCTTCTGAACAACTTCTGCTAAAAAGATGAGTCACTCAAAATATGACCCAGATCCCAGAAATGGGTGCAGTGGTTTGTGGGTAAAGTGTGAGGCTGCTGGGCTGCTTGGCCCGTTTTCAGAACAAATGAACGAGGGACTGGGTGGTGGTGGTGGGGTTGAGGGACGGAAGCTGTGTGCGAAATGGCCGCCGTCTCCTCTCCACCCGTATCCGAGTCCACCTGCACCTCAACCGTTACCATGGAAACACCAGCTGCAAGAAGCCGTCTGAATCAAAGAGGCGAGCGAGTGTGTGTGCCGTCGTCAGGGTCAGAAATGTCAAAAAAATTCATTACATCCAAAATGTGGGCTGATGGAGGCCGAGTGAGGCTTCTGTGGTTTGAGTGGGTGGGGGTGTGCAGAGCTTACGGGGGGGGGGGGTAGGGGGGTTGGGGGGGGGGAGGAGGAGGAGGAGGAGGAGGGGGAGGGGGGGTGTCTGCCTTTGATCAGAAAAGACCTCATCACAAGGCCAAACTACTGCTGAACTACTCCCAATCCTGGTTCCTCTGATAGTCCTCCCATCTACTTGACTGCAGAGGGTGTGTGTGTGTGTGTGTGTCTCTTCTATCTTTCATCCCACCGCCTTTCTACCGGCTCCCCTCGCTCTAATCAGATCTACGTCCACCAGTGTTTTCCCTCACGTGGCCGGGCAGTGAGTCAGTGGGTCGGTCAGTAATCTCTTTAGAGGACGTGAAGGAGCAACGCGGGTCTGTCAGGTTGACCCAGTATGACAGATCAGCCATCAGAGACTTTCATATCCTCAGTGTATGATGTGTCAGCTCTAGGTGTAGACGTGTCTACGTCTTTAATTGATAACAATGCATCAGTGCTGTTGGGCTGTATTTAGGGAAAGCGGTGCTTTGAGCTGAAAGCTAACGTAAGCATGCTAACATGCTAACCATGTGCCAATGTGTGTGACCAGGTTCAGGCAAATGATTAGCAATTTGGTGGTGATCCAGATGTTAGATTTCCAACGCGAGATGTGATGATTGTGAAGCTATGGGTGATAAAGACTTAATTTCAAAACCTTTAGCTTTGTTTTGTCTTTCATGTAACCAGACAGTTCTATTCAGTGTTCGTGGGGAGGAGTGTAGCATATCAAACTATATGAAAATAGAAAAATCAATCACGTAGACAATGTGAGAGCATGTTAGTGTTATAACACCGTAGTGAAACAGCCTACATGAGAGCAGCTGTACTGAGCGGCGCAGCTGCATAAACAAATCATTACAAATATACACACTCATTAAAGATACACACAAACAATAACGAACACAAACAGTGCCGCGGAGGTGGAGCAGCAAAAGAATCGTCTGGGGAGCAAATCCTGCCAGACACCAGCGGTCCTTGTGGACGAGGCAGCAGAGGGCTTTGATATGCATGTACACACACACACACACACACACACACACACACACACACACACAATGTGTGACTCCTCTTGGGGGTGTGAAGGTTGTCTCGGTCACTGCAGATGATGCAAAAATATGTGCGTGTGTGTACATTGGTACTGTTACAGTCATACTAGCTCTCACAGAAACAGCAGAGAGGTAGGTGTGTGTGTGTGTGTGTTTGTCCCTCTCAGGTTCCCCAGGAGATATGCCGGTCATGTCTGGTTCATATTTTCATCTCTACAGACAGAACTGCAGTTCAAATCTGTCTCATAAAAAAACAATTCTAGGCATCAGCTACACCAGCTATTCGGTGAAAGGGCTAAACATGTCTTTCCAGTGGTTTCAATAGAGAACGGAGTTATTTTACACTATTCATATCTCGACGAGGCAGTTTAAGGTCAAGGCTGATAAGACCCGCTTCATACACAATCACAACTAAAGGTGCTTTACTTAGTGCATGAAAGATATGCAGCTGAGTAACAGAGATAAAACGAAAGACCAACAGCAGAAAGACAACATAAATTAGGAGTGGGCGATATAGATACAATCCCTTTGTTGGTATAAATCATTTTAAATCGTAAAATCAATATATATTGTTGACATTTTTAAAAATATATATATGTATTATCAATACATCTGTGAACATGTAAACGAAAGTGAAACCTAATTCAATCAGCCATCGCCGCGATGTTTACAAAAGCACCGCTAGATTCCACTAAATCTTACACACTGTCCCTTTAAGAGCCTAAAAGTGATGTGCATCTCCAGCGAGGGAGCTACAGATCTCTAGCTATAATCTACCTCCATCTAACTGTACGTTCATTTTCATTTGTTTGAGCAACAGCATTGCCAGAAACCTCCTTCATTGAGCCGTTATCACGTCAGTTAAGCCAGTCCTCTGTTCTTTCAATTAAATGAGTCATTAGCAGATAATACTCTATAATACTATCCGACTGTAATCCATGGGGCCATGGGGGGGGGGGTTCTTCAAGGACTAGAGAAGAATAAAACAGCGCTGGCTTATTGAGTAAGGCGTTATTGTTTTCGGGGCTCCAGGCTCATTACGGCGCGTCCTCCTCATGTCGCTGGAGAGCGGCAGTGACAGTGAGGGTGAAGGGTCACAGTCTTATAGAGGGTGATTATAGTCGGCTGAGCAGCCAGCGTGTTTACAACGGTCATGGGAATCACACACACAATGGGCCCTTTAAACCAAAGAGAGTTGTCCTTTAAAGCTTGGTTTGGTGTTCATCTTTAAGTCATTGTGAGTAATTGTCCTTGTGTGGGATTTCTCCACAGTCTGATGACGGTAGGGCATCGGTCAAAGTCAACTGTTGAGGTCTGGTCTGTCCCAGTGTGTGTTTGAGTTGGTACCAATCCAGCTGACTGGTACAATCCTACCACAGAGCAGGTAGCATGCTGGATGCAGGAGCATCCAGCTGTCTCTGAGGGATCGTAGATCCGGGTCTCTGGAAGTGAAGCCGGGAGGCTCGCCATCAACCGGACTCGTTGGATCTTCTTCACTGGATCTCCTCACTCAATTAAAGACCTGAAATGTATTTACAAACAGGCTTACAGTCTCTACTTGTTTCTCTAATGGTGTACAACTGAATGCAAATACTCAACATACTTAAATACATTTGTTTTTCTCTGGGTTCAAATTCCAAATTCTCAAAATAATTGTTTTGTTCTAACACAATATACTGAGCATATATTGTCACAATACAAATATCAGGTATGAAAATAGACTTCAGCTGAGCCAATATCTGAGTAAGCAATAAAACACTTACACAATGAATCTATAAACCTTAATCTAAAGCAAAATTGTATTTTTGTAGAAACACGTGACCTTTTTCCTCAATTAAGTAAACACAATCATTTTTGACAAATAATCTTACAGCAGTAACAGTAAAACTACTTAGTTCACTATTTCTGGTAACCTATCACGAGCGTCATGAGTAACGTTAGCGAAGTGCTCAACATTAGCATGTTTTGTCCTTTAGTAACATGGTGAATATTACCATGAAACCTATACTTTAAACATGAAACATACATTTACATTTAGGAGCTTGATATTTACAAACCGCTGGAACTAATCTTTACATGTAAAGATTAAATAACTTCATCGCTAACACACAACATAACTAGCTTAGCACAGTAGCAGTGAGAAGCTAACGCAGACTGAGATATGTCAACGACTACAGGGCAGATTGGCATGAAGATGGTTCATTCATGTTCCCTCCACAGGAGGAGCTGTCTGGAACAATCTGCCTGAGGATCTGAAAGCTGCTGGAAGTGTTAAAATAATTAAAACGTAAACTTAAAACCTACTTATTCAGCCAGGTCTGAACCTTTTTTTTTTTAACATTAGAGATATCTTAGTATTTTATTTATCTATATATTTACTTTATTTTAGACACTTATTTCATTGTATTTAATGTGAAAAAAGTATTCTATTCTATTTCATTGTTATTTTATTTATCACTTATTCTATTGTATTTAACTTGTATAATTTTATTCTATTTGATCAACCTAGATTTTATTTCATGCTGTTTTACTCCCATTACTGTTATTATAGCTTCTAATTACAGCTTTTAATTCTATTTCATTACATCTTCAGCATTTCATTGTCTCGTGCGCATTGGTCTCAAATTGTCAAACTGCTGAATTGCTTTTGTGTCTTCTGTTGTTTTCACGGTCAGTCACCTGTGAAGCTGTTTGAACTGCACCGACCAGTATGAAAGGTGCTATACAACAAAGGGTTGAATGATGGATGTTAGTATTGTGACTGTCAGCAGACATTAACATCTGCTTAAAGCACTGCTGTGTCTAAGTGAAGCTTCACACAGACTCTTGTTAAATCTCTTCCTCGCAAATACCAAAAGAATATCTTCTGGTGTCATAGGAGTCTGGAGGAATAAGCATCCATTTTCTATCTTCAGAGGCCATTAACTGTTTTTATTTCCACATCTTCCAGTCATGTAGCTTCAGCTGTGCATGGGCTTAGAATTGATTTTAGAATACAGACGTTCACAGTAATAAACTGCTATGGACTCTATGGAAGAGCCAACATGTCCTCGTGTGTCTTTGTTGAATACAACATACATTTCATCCATGACGGCTCGGCTGGTGTTGGAAGATGCTGAATACGATTGAAGTCTAATTCTGGCTCTCATACAAACAGTCTGTCTCTCACCGCCCATGACTAAAACCATTAGGACCCCTGGGCTATAACGGGGGTTTGCTGTGCTACTTTCATAGTCTGCATGCAGAAACGAGAGGCTGCAAGAGAGTGTGTGTGTGTGTGTGTTTGTGTGTGTGTGTGTGTGTGTGTAGTAAAATGATTCGTCACACTCACAGCACACTTGGCTGAACAAAGAAGTCCACTCTCTAGGTAACATTACAAAGCCCGGATGTTGCAACGACACGATTGGTGGAAAGCACACGCTCTGTCATGTGATTGGTGCATAGCCCGGGGGCTCAGTTATCATGAGTCAGCCCCTTTTTCTGCATGAGACAAGGGAGGAGGGGGAGAGAGAGAGAGCAAAAGTGAGAGAGAGAGAAAGAGAGCGAGAGAAACCTGTAATGGAGGCAAAGTTTAAACATGTATGAACCGAAAACTCAGAGCAATGTGAACATGAAACTTTATTAAAAAATGGTGTGGTCTCACACCTGTTACATAAAAGATACAGAAGGGAATGCTAACTTTTTCTTCTTTCAATTATGTACTCAAAAATATCAGTATAAACTGCAAATAAATTGCCTCAAGATTCTAGACCGCTCGTGAGTTCAACCCAGATGTTACAAACAGAAGAAGATGAACGAAGGAACATGTAACGCGGGGATCCTCTTCGTTATTGAAGCTCAGCGAGAGAAGGCAAAGTGTCCTCACGAGTGTGTGTGTCGTTTCCACAGATAAACTTTAGCATTTCAGTGCGTTTCATCAGCTCGACGCAGAAGAAAGCGGCGAGCAGTGTGTCCCGAAAAATCTGCACGAGCACACGAGCTGTGAGAAGTGATGGGAGTAGAAAATGGTGACGCACACTGAAAGAGATACAAAATAACATCAGATCTCCAAAAAGATAACCAGCACTGAAATGAAAAGTAGAACTGCAGCGAGCGAGGATAGTGATTCTGAGGACGAGCCGATCCCACCGGGGGGGGGGGGAACCCGGTCGCCACAGAGTTAGAAGCGTCTGTAGTAGCGGTGCGCAGGTCCGTAGTGCATGGGCAGGTCTATCATGTCCATGTTGTGGTGATGAGGGTTGACGGGAGGGTGGAGATGGTTGTTGTTGTTATTGTTCAGGGGGGGCAGGTGTTGTAAGGGGGGCACGTAGGGGGCCGGGGGCAGCCGGGGTATCATCACCTGGTGGTACATCCCAGCCTGGGGCAGAGCCGGTGGGTAGCGGGCGCGCGGAGGCACGAACAGGGGAGCTTGCACTGCCTGCGGGTGAGGAGGAGGAGGGGGGGCCGCCGGGTTCGGGTGAGGCGGGTTTTCGTGCGGAGGACCCACACAGGGCCGCTTGGCTTCGGTGATGGGCTCCGGAGGAGGACCGACCCGCTTCCCTGAATTATCTGGAGAGAAGGAACAAAGGTGAGTCGTCGATGAAATAATAAAGCACCAGAGAAGCTGAACAGAGGGACTCTCGGTACGGACCTGCAGACTTCTTATTCAGCTCTGCCTCTCCTTCCTTCTGGATATCCTGAATGATTCGCTCGTCGTCTTGCTGTAGAAACAAAAACACACACACAAGTTCTATCAAAGTCAAATTAACTCTTGTGGTACCCAGATAATGAACTTGCAATTTTACACCTTAAAATGAAACCCAAGTCTTTAACCTAGCTATGCCTGTACCTTGTATGCATAAGTATAAATCAGCTTTAGTAGCGCTCGTTTAGCTGCAGTCAGAGAGGTCAGAACTGCTGTGGAGGGCGGGACTAAGTGATGATAAAGGTGAACTGTGTATATTTGTTTGGTCAGAACTTCCTTCACTTATTCTTGACGAGGACCACCTTAGATTAGATAATGATGAGGCAGCAGTGGACCCCTTTCTCCAGCCCTCCATTGGCCCTCTGGTTACCAGTGTTTATCCATTTTTTTTTGGCAAAGCCGTGGAGACTAGCAGTTGGCCGGCTCTGGTGCTTCTCTAGAGCCGCTGGAGCAGCTCCAGCTCATTTAACTGCTCGGGGACTAATCGTTCAGGTTGCCAGTCATACTGTGGCCTGGTCACTGTGGGCCCCCACAGAGTCAGCTGCTCGGGGTTAAAGTGCAGCGAGAGTTAGCGAACATGTTTGCGAGTGTAACCGAACAGCTGGTGTCGTAACAGTGGCTTCCCGCTACAGTTTACCAGGACAGACGAAAGAACAAAAGGCTCAAGTTCTTCAGAACAAAGCGGTTACCGTGGGGTCCGTCCAGAGGGAGCACTTGCGGCAGTGTCGGCAGGGAGCTCCAGGAGAGCGTGCGTGCTGGCAGAAGTGGTTGTAGCCCGTGATGGGCTCTCTGCAGAGGTAGCACATGAAGCTGCCGCAACGGCACGACATCCGGTTGCAGCCCTCGGACTTCACCAGACCCGTCCCGCACTTCACGCACTTCCTCACCCGAGCTGCCGTCATGCGCTCCTCACTGCACCGTGAGGACGGACAGACGGGAGAAACAAATAGACAAACAGGGCAGTGAGAGACAGGAGAAGTCAAATTCAACAAGGAGAAAAGAAATAAAGTCAAAGAGAGACATGGCAGCGCTGCAAAAAGGCTCATCTGACTCTGTGCAGATATAGTTTAATGAACTTTCTTCTTTGTGGTTGTTAATGTTGACGTGAAATGAGAAATTTTGTCTGAAAAACTAAACGCCATCGTGATTCTTTTCGTTACGTCCTGTTAAAATCATCAGGTCAGCGCTGCTCAGACCGGCTCCACTGATCTCTCTACCGGGCCACTTCCTGCCTCTTTCAGCACCAGGAAGTAAGAAGCTCTGTGTACTGCTCAAAACAGGAAGTACTGCCTGTGGACCCGCTGGGCCACAGGAAGCAGCTGGACTCTCCACTTCCTGGAGTGTTGTCCGGGAAAACTGAACTGTTTACCCAGCATCCTCTCCAAGGGAAGAGTAGAGGGGAGAGACATGAGCAGGGCCTGAGACAGAATTGCTAACGTGAGCTCATGGGTCGAAAACACCGTGGATAATTTAAAGTAATGCTGTTTAGTTTTACGATGTTTAAATGTATTCTGTGTCCTGTGTAAGCTTCATAAAATCCCATCAAAGGACACACGTCTAAGTCGGCCGAGTGGTGGAGTGTTGATAAAGGGAGTTCGTTTCCATCAGACCACTTACAAGAGCACCCTCATGCGGATCTCGTCCCTCTCCAGGACCTGCTCACACGTCTTCCCCACGTGCTGCTTCCACTGGACGTGGCACTTTCTACAACTCTCCTGAAGAAGAAGACGAGAAGGGAATCAGACAAATGTCGCGTTTAGGGATTACGTAGAGGGACAGAAAGCAAAACAGTGAATTTCATTAGAATCTCCCTGTAACATTTATTCACTTGTACGTTTTAGTTTTTTCTGATACATCATCAACTACCGAGAGATTAACCCACATTTCCACATCCACCCTCTTGTCTGACACTATTCCAGTAAGTGCTGAATAAGAGGAGCCTCCACACTCTGCTCTATATGCTGCTGGTGCTGCCACTGCAGGATTTAGACAGACACAGCTACTAGGTGTGGCTCTCCCTGCAAATGTGAGTGTGTGTATGTCTGTGCAGCAAGAGTGTGATTTGATCGCTGCTGACTGCTTGGTTGCCTAGAAACAGCAACTCCATCCTCCAACCTCCTTCGTCGTGTCCGCCCGAGACGCCCGCCCGCCCACGCCTACGCACACGCACACACCTCCCTTGCTTAACCCCTGGCTAAGTGGTGTCACCATAAATATTTGAACTGCTCATCTAATATTGAATAGCGTGGCATATGACAGCTGATGCAGCACCAGTATGATCCATTTCTCCAAGGAAACCTCCAGTCTGACCCTTAACCTGCATCGGTCATAAATGCACCCCTTCAATCCTGTGACCTCTTTGCACATCCTTCAATCCCTTCCTGCGTGTTATTTTATCATTTCAGCTACCACGGGCTTGCAGCTCTCACAATATTCACTGAGACAGCTCTCTGTGTGTGTGTGTGTGCAAGGTCAACTGAGTTGGAAAAGCCAGATTTTCGTTGGCATTTGGAGCGGTTTGGATGCAAACACTAAAAGACGTTCGTGGAAAAAGACCAGGACCTTTATAGCCAGAACGTGGCAGCTTCAAGCAGAGGAAGAGCCCTTTAACAAAACACGAGATGGATGATGAGTAGACCAACTGTGCTCACATTTTTGTGGAGCTTCTGATGTATAAAAGGGAGTGTCCAAGCAGCGACGTTCATGAAGCGCAGTCGTGAAGCATGGGAACGAGCGTGACCAGGATCAAGCATAGTGAGAAAACTCTCTCTCTGGTCTCCGATACCAGTCCAGCGTGGGTCTTTAGAGGCCGGGCAGGACGGGGTAATGTGCCGAAGGGCGCAGCACCGGACTCAAGTGTCGGGGGAAAAAAGCCAGATCACACAAAGACCGGGAAGCAGAGCGTGAGACGGGGAGGAGGACGGAAAGCAGAGCGGTGAAAGATCACCCCCTGGTGGTAACCTAGAGACCAGGAAGAGGGACGGCATGAGACAGAGCGACAGAGCGACAGAGCGAGTGAGCGAGTGTGTGTGTGTGTGTGTGTGACCTGTTTGACAAACTGTTGAAAAGCAGGAAAACACCTGAGTTCTTATAGCGCGGCTAAAAATACAGCCGGTGACATCGCAGTCAACCCTTGCACAGGGTGTGTCTCCACACACCCGGTGGCTGATTTGAATACAAGTGAGTGTGGCTGAAGTGTGACGAAGGTTGTAGACGCACACAGACACAGACACACACACACACACACACACAGACACACACACACCTTCATGATGTACAGATGGCAGCAACATGAGCAACTTGAATCTGGGAAATAGTCTGTTTAGCTGTTTTACTCGAGTCTCTGCATCCATTCATTCACTCCAGCCATCCTGTTCCAACTCCCCCCCCTCGATGCACTGCACTCCACTCTCTCGGGTCCTACCCTCCTTCCTCCCCTCCCACCCAGCAACACCTTCCTCCAGCTTCATTCATACTTTGCCTCTTCTCTGGATCTTTCTCTATTTCCCCTCCCACGGTGCGGGCTGCAGCAGCCCTTATAAGGCAGTGCAAGCAGCTTGCTTCTGATTGGGGGGGGCTGCGTCAAGGGTGCGGTGGGGTGGCTTTTACTGCAATCATCAAATCTGAGTGCAGATTTGAGAACGCAGCTACTCGCAGACACACAGAGAGACAACACACCGATTCGGCTCTTCTCATTTGCACTGCGACAGGCCTTCCATTTCACATTCCTCCACTTTCACGAAGTAATCACTCGCAGGCCGGGAGCAAGTCTGTCCAAATGTCCTCATGAAGCACATGTGGGAAACGTTAGGAGGGGAGCCAGGGGAGAGGAGACGAGAAGGGAGGAGAATCTGGGTCAAACTTGACCTGGGCCACATTTGAAACGGAGGAGGAAGTGTGTCCAACCAGTGAGGAACCAGTGTGAGGGGAGTGGAGAGTGCAGCCAGCCAATGAGGCGGCGGGGTGGGAGAAAGGCGGGTGGGCTCAACGGATGTGTGTCAGTTACATAATGAAGCCCCTCCCTGCTCGGAGACTGTACAACAAGAGTCTTCTTCAACCGTTAAAACAAATAAATATTAAAAAACAGAGATGCAGTAAAGCTAGTCGATGTAAATCTGATATTCTTGTGGGGGGCAGACTCTCCTCACAACCACAGCAGCTACAGATTCACATCCTGATTCCTACACAAACTAAAGAGGAAGCACGTTGTGTTAACTTTCTGTAGCACTTGACTTACTTAACAAAAAGCCGTTTCCTTCATAACTCAGGAGTGTCCGTGTCAGACCGCCGAGTACGATTCTGAAAACATATTCTAACAGCCGGTCCAAATCCGCAGCTGTTGCCGTCTATACACCGCAGAAGAAAAATATGCAGAACAAGGATCAGCCCAAAAGATATCTGGAGCACGTCTAACTTTCTTGTATCTTTGTGTGCGTGTGTGTGTGTGTGTGTGTAATGGGATGCAGCTGTGCTGGCACACTGCAGGGCAGCCACTATGAACCTCTGGCTCCACCTACAGGTTAAAGGAGGGAGCAGCAGGAGAGAGGATCAACCTCCGTGTCCTCCGTGTCCTCCGTGTCCTTATCCGTGTCTGTACAATTATCAGGGCTGTCCTCAAACAAAGAAACTCTTAGTCAACCAACACTCATACAAGTTTGTTGACTAAGAGATCGGTTGATTTAATCGAGTTCCTCCACAAAGAATCACACAAGAAACAAATTGACTAAAGAAATCGACTGCAGCCCTGATGAGTATATTTAAGGTTAGGCTCAGGCCCCGTTTCTCATAATCTAGGTGTTCATAGAGAAGCCACTGCAAAGAGATCGTGCTGTTTTAGGACATAGATGACTTCTGTGCTGCCAGAGGAACTAGAGGAGCTTGTGCAAAGTCAGCAGATGTGAAATAACACTTTATAGTCTGACCAGAGACAGAAGATCTCTGTGTGTGCTACCGGAGCGTTATGTAAACGCATCATTAAAACACCAACAAGCTTAAAGGGAGACACATTAAAGTGTGTTCTTGGGGAGTACTCGAGGCTACGCTAGCCGCAACTAGCATAACACAATTGAACCTCTGTCTGTCAGTGGAACAAGAATGCCTGTAATGTAAAAAGATGATATCTCTGGTTTTATGTTAATAAACACAGGAAATGGAAACCCTTTGTCCTAATATCGATACCAGTAATCCCAATATCTCACACATTTACTATGCTGGAGGTGTTGATCTCTCTCTCCCTCATTCTGGCAATGTAGCGATAGTGTGTGTTCCTGAGTCTACATATGTGTGTGTGTTGACTCAGAGTCTGTTGTGGTGTAGCAGGAGCGAGTGTGAGACACAAGAACAGAAACAAAAAGAGACAAAAGAAGCACCGAGAGAAAGAGGGGAGGGTTGTGTGGTGTGGGTGAGAATATGAGTGTGTTTGCGCATCTCTTTGCCAAATAATGGAGAAATGTCAGACTGGAATCCACGTGACAGCGTTGGCAGACACAAAGCAGCGCCGCCCCCCCCTGCATTCCTCAGACAGAGGGAGGAGGCCCGGAGATAAACACAGAGGGTGACGACCTCGCCAGATGGAACCGTTTCATCGTCGGCAGAGAGGCGCTCATCAATCTTCTTGATCTGGACGGACGTGATCTCCGTCTCGTGTCCGGGTCCAGATAATTTATGCCGAGGTGGACGCTGCACACCGAGCTTTCCGGTTTCACCGTCATGATGGACTGAATTATTCATGAGGTTGAATTCAAATCCAGGTTCAGGCTCCCTTTTGTACAGTATAATTTCATCCGGACATATAGGATGCATGTATTGTGCGTTAACCTACATATTCCTTTACAGTTACGGTCTGTAGAGGAGGAGCAGCAACACAACAGCCCGGCCTCCCCAACAACCTCAAAGTGTTTAATAAACTAAATAAATACAGAGTGGGACTGACCTTGCGGCACCGCGGGTTGGGACAGCTGAATAGAGACCTGTCTTTGTCCAACAGCGCTGGGAAATTGCAAAACGGGCACCTGAGAAGGAAAAAGAGGAAGGAGGGTTAAGGAGTGAAATGTATGAGACAGCTGTAAGAGAGACGCAAAGAAAACAGATAAACAAATCCCACTGGGAGCAGACAAACCGACATTATTTCAGGTCTTTTATGAGATCACCTTCAGGCCACCAAATAACATGCGTCCTTATGGACTAGATTTAAAGTTCAAAATACATTAAAAACAAAGTATTAATATGATTCTAATCAAAATACAACGACTGTGTGAACCAAACCTCACCACATGGAGACAGGAAGATTTATAAATTAAGCTGAACAAGCAGCTGGGATATTAATGTACAAGTGAGACTAAGTCCTAAAGGGTTAGGGCTGCAACTAACAACTATTTACATTATCGGTCAATCTGCTGATTGTTTGTTGGAAAATATAAAAAATGCCCATCACACTTCCCCAGAGCCAGTGACAAGGACGTAACAAAGAAGCAGCACATCTTCACATCCATCACTCACTGGGGGAACTTTGACCGTTTTGCTCCTAAATTGACTTTTTAATTGATTATCAAAATTGCTAATCGATTGATCCACATGTAGACAGTTCAGTTACAAGACAAACGTAATACACACACACTTACCGCACTAGTTCATCAGCACAGGTGGCGGCGACGGCCTCCTCCGCCTGCCTCTCGTAGTATTTACACAGTATGTTCTCTGGGAGGACTTTCTCCAGCTCACACACCGGGTAGGAGCACGGGCAGCCGCCCTCCATGCAGCTCAACTCCGACTGCAACACGCACAAAGTTATTAGAAATGCAGCCGTCAGCCAACGCACACACAAAGATGAGAAACACCATTCATGACAATGTAATCCAGTCTGACATTGTTATAAAGATGAACCAGCACCAGAGGATGTATTATAATCCCGTTGTATTGCATTGGATCATATATAATGTTTATTGTGTGTGTGTGTGTGTGTGTGTGTGTCCGTACATTTCCAGAGCCAAACACCGCCTCCTGAGCGTATCGGACCAGGCACTCTTGACAGAACAGGTGTCCGTCTGAACACTGCGTCATCTTCTCAAACGCAAACTCCCCGAAGCAGCAGCCGCACTCGATCAGCTGGCCGTCCTGCACACAGAGTTACACACAGAGTTACACACAGAGTTACACACAGAGTTACACACAGAGACACTTTATGAGGCGCTGAGCTTTTCAGGGATCTTCTTTTGAGAGTTAACAGATTGATTTCATTCACGGATTATCAAATACAGAAAGTTAAATCCAAGATGTTAAGAGTACAAGTCAGTATAAGTTTAGAGTAGTACTAAAATGAACCTAGAAAGCAACTAGTCTACAATATGTTCTACACATAAACAGATTTTCAGGGACTTTAAGAAAACCTCTGACTTGTTTGCCTTTGAGGGAAATACTCGAGGATCTATTTTAAAACTGCACAGTCAAGTGTAGCCGCAATGACAACAATGTAGCCATCTTAAACATACATTCAGCAGCAACCATGTGACCAACACTATCCTGAACAAGCTCACCAAAAGCCTATGAAAGTACGGCCTTTGGTCTTTATACCACAACATTGGTTTGTATTGCATCGTGATAGGACACTACTTCTTGCAAATTCAATTGACAAACTTTTTCTTTTACCCAAAATAATGATACATTACGAGCCGCTGTGAAGGTTACATCCGTTTAGCTGAGGTGTGTGTGCTTCCTACCTTCTTGTACTCGTCCTCATTGACCTGCAGAGCCAGGAGGAAGTCCTCATGCTGAGGAGGGAGGGGGGGGGGGAAGAGAAAGAGAAAGAGAGAGAGAGGTTCAGTAAACGGGCAGATGTGACAGGAAGAGCTCCTAGAAAAGAGTGTGTTACAACTGAAAGCAGCCAAGTCTCGATAAGAGGCGAGGCCTGTGATATTTAGCTCTTTGTACAAGCAGCAAGATTCATTTTATATTCCCCATCATTTAGAAATCGTTACAATATGAATCCAATATTCCCTTTGGTAATATTACTCTGATGAAAAACAATATGCCGAAAGCAAAATACCCTTAACTTAATGTTCTATAGCATATAAAAGTCTGTAGGCATGAATACTGGGTGACAGGTGTGTGTGTGTGTGTGTGTGTGTGTACCTCTGCCCATTCCTTGTCCTTCTGCTGATAGAATGAAAGCTCCTTCTGCACAGAAGCTTCCAGACTGCTGTACGTCCGGCAGTAGCGACGGTCGTTCTCCAAGAAGTACATCCTCTTCTCAAACTTCACTGATCCTGCGGGACAAAGGGAACCCAGTGAGTGAGACACCCACAGCAAAAAACATCAGGACACCAAGACAGATGTTATTGGAACCTCGGAGATTTCTGTCCTCCCATGATGCACCTGCAGACCCGTGGGCAAGCTCCGTTACTGAAGCTCTTGCGAATGAATGAAAAGCTGCCCGAGGTATTCACATGCGGTGGGCAAAAGTGGAGGAAAAAAAAAAGAGGTTTGCTCACCGTGCTCAAAATGGAAGCAGATGTAGCAGCGCTCAGCGGAGGTTCTGCTCCGTCGTCTCTTTCCTGAGGGGTCGCCTGAATCTTTCCACTTCTTCAGCGCTGAACATAAGGCCTGCGAGTCAGAGAGACACTTAAAGACGCGTTCGTAAAAGTAGAGGAAGGGTAGAATCGTGACTGCGTTCCTCTGTGCGCTACGGGACGACGGGTACCTTGCGTGTGATTGCATAGTGTCCCTTCAGAGCATTGAGGGCCCATTTGATGTCCTGACAACTGAGCATCCGGAAATCTGCCATGAGCAGATCAGCGGCCTGCATCACAGCCTCGGGTCCCACCGTGCCCAGTTTGGTATAGTCAAACAAGTCCTCGGTCACCTGAAACGACCCGCGACAGACGCATGAACACGGGGGCCAACACACTGAGATACCGGATTCATGGAGCGCTCAACAAAGCGACAAAAGAAAAAATACATTTAGTGGTGGCAAGAGACTAAAGGTCTGTTTCTGCTTTTTTGTGTGAACAAGTCAGAGAGTCTGAGGTGAGATTCTTTCCTGCTCTATGCTTTAATATATGTGTGCATGTGTGTGTGTGTGTGTGTGCTACTTTGCGTATGAAAAGAACAATGGATAAATGAATGGCTCCTCCATTCCATGTGAAACACTCGCATAGTGCAGATGTTTCTTCAGTATATTCACTCTCGTCCCCACTCCAGTATGTAGTCATAATCTACAGACACCAAGAAAAGCTCTGATGTGAAACTGATTTAAGCTTGATTGACGTAATAATGAGGAACGATCTATCCTTCCTTGTTTTTCCAATTCGTCGGTTTACAAGCACACTGTGCACGACGCGTATTATACTGGTGAGGACGTTAAATGCTCACTTACATCGACCCACATCACTACAGCCTACCTTAGAATGACTCAAGTTGGGTGCTTAAAAATCACTTGTGGTATTAACAGATGGACAGACAGACAGACAGACACACACACACCTCTGTCTCGGTGTCCCCACACTCCAGTAGGATGCTGGTGGGAGCTGCTGTGGCTGCTGCAGTACCTCCCCTTGGATACTCGGGGTTCTCCAACAGCAGGTTACAGATACTGGAAACAGCAGAGAGGGGAGCTGCGTGTGAACAAAGCTTACACCGACATACACACAGTTACAGGTGGGATGGTGCTTCAATACCCGTCCACCAACACAGAACTGTGCCCTGTTGCATATGCGGCAATGAAGTGTACACCTAAATAACTGTTCTGAGGGGGAAAAAAAAAACCAACACTAATATATACAGTATATATAAAATATTATAGTTTGATTGATCAGTCAAAATGTCTCCAATAGAAAGAAGAAGAAGTGGGAGAAGAAAGGCAGATGCTTCTTACACATTCAAGTCTTTCACATTATTCTTTTGGATCAGTTCTGCTACATAGGCTTCGTGGACATCTGGGAAGAGTTCCAACTGCAGAGGAGACACCAAGAGTCAGAACAGGCGGAACGTAGTTGGGACAGAGGAGGTGAGAGACACAGTTACACCACAATTCAAATTTAACTTGACATTAACCGACTGATGAGCTCAAGAGACAGACAGCAGACAATGCAGAGCACGGCGATGATACTCACAACACCAGTGATGAGGGCTCTGACGTGGGGCTGCTGCTCCGCTCTCCCTTGTGGTGCAGAGGGGCCGGGCCTCGCGTCCTCTATTCGGGGAATGTCCTCTGGTGCAGGAGGGACCGCGACCAGACCAGGGGCGGGATTGACTCTTTCTGGGTTTGGAGCTGGAGCCGGAAATCGCTGAGCCTCTCCGCTGTTGTGGGGGACTGAAGCTGTGGGAGCGTGAGGGACGAGAAGGTTAACGTTCATCCTGACGTGGAGGCTGCGGGCCAGTGGGACCCCGCCAGAGGTCCCGGCCTGTGGCGGAGGATTGGGAACAGCTTCCCCCGGCGCTTGGCTCCCCAGGATGATCCGGTGACCTGCCTCCGGAGGTCCGAGTCTCTCCGGGGCCGCAGCTATTAGCACTGCGGGGGGGGGCCACCTGTATCACCTGAGGATGCTGCAGGGCCTGGACCAGAGGCTGGGCCGGGGCCTGGGCCAGGAGCTGTGGTTGAATCTGAATGAGATTGCCCTGCATTAGATGGAACGACACGGGCTGCAGGAGGTTCTGGGGCCTGAACTGCAGCTGGGGTTGGGTTATGAGAGCAGAGGCTAGGATGCTCGGCTGCTGGGGAAGAACGACTAGTTTCACCTCCTTCAACGGGGCGAGGCGGGGCTGCGGGACACCAGTCCCGCCGGTCTGGAGCTGTGTCGATGTACCGGGCTGAGACGGCGTCCGTGTGCGAGACTGGGACTGTGCAGAGGAAGTGCTGGCCTGAGGATTGTCTTGTGACTGAGAACTTGTACCGGCCTCTTCTTGAGTCTGGGTAGAAGAACTGGACGCAGTCGCACAAGAAGAGTGTGTGGCACTTTTAGAGGTGCTCGCCGTCGCGACTTCTGAAGGGCCGGCTTGTGGCTGCGCGGGCCCAGATGTGCTGGGCTGAGGCTGACTGAGTACAGGTATAGGTGCTCTGGATGTGTTGGCATTTGTGGAGGTAGATGGGGTTTGGATGGAAACTGCATGGAGTTCCACTTTTATATGCGCTGACGTACCGGCCTGTTGCTGAGAGTTTGTGTGAAGTTTTGGCTGAGACAGTGTGTGCGATGACGAGCCGGGTTGTTGCTGCTGTGCATGTCCTGAAGTGCCGGACTGCTCCGGTGTCTGTGTCTGTGTCCGTATGGCTGTCACTAATGCGGAGGAGTTGGCCTTGGCATCTCTGGAGGTAGAGGGGGCAGAATCGGGGTCCGCTGTGGGAACCCCAGAGGTTGCGCTACTGTGACCCACAACTTGAATTAGGTTGTGCAAGGCCCCGCTCCATTTTGCTGCTGGGCGAATCACGTGTCTGCGTGCAGGAGTCAGCGGCTGCAGGAAAACACAGGAGACGCAAGTTGAAAGATGAATGAACAAAGTAAAATGCACTCTACAATCTATGAGCAGGGTTCATCAGTCACCTCCAATATGCTGATGTCGTCATCATCTGCATCGTCCGGGACTAACACAAGGCTGCCAGGTATCAGAGTCTCCTCGTCCAAATCATCGGAAATGGTGATGAGCTCCCACTTACGTGTACGGGAGCCTACACGGACGCAATGTCAAGTAAATATTACAAATGTGTATCATGTGTGTGGCTATTTGTGTCTGTGTGGCAACGTGCGTTAAAGAGAAGGGAAAACAACTGAACAGAACACTTATTATTCAAAACATTGTTGTTTACCATGTTGTTTAAGAACCATGGCAGGAGATTCAGAGACTACAGACTCTCATTGACTAGAATTTCAATTTTGGACTTCTTTGAAGCCGAAGCCTGAACAGATCTGTCATTTTGGAAAACATCACATTACCATGATACATTAATCTCCATGTCTGTGATGTAAAACTAAAAAGGGGCATTGATGCCATGCTTTGTGTTATACCTATTTAATCCATTTTGTTGCATGTCAAACAGCAATGTTGCATGGATATAGGAACTCCAACCCTGAAACTATGTCTAGCAGGACTGGTATATAAACACACAACCAGGAGCCAGGGTTAGGTGTAGTTTGAAATGTAAAACCAGGGAGAGTGTGACAGCCTCATGCAGAAGCTACAGTGGCCGCACAGTGCAAGAGGTCATGTCACACAAGCTGGTACTGAGACATAATGCTGTGGACATTGACCCATACAAGTGTGTCTTACCGTGGAGGTTGAAGCTTACCAGGTGAATGACATCATCATCACTGCCCCATCTGCCATTGTGACACTAAGTTTACCCTGAATCAGCCCCCCCCCACACACACACACACACACACACTGCTCAATCTATGGGCTCGTTTATCTCAACCAGGCGTGCGCAGAATCGATCACAGGCGATCGGCCCACAATGCATTCCGGTTAGATTTGTGTCCGACTTGATCCCGACTTGCTCTGACGTCATGCACACGTGGGCAACGATAACCTCACGAGAGCCAGGCGGCCGCAGAACTTTGCTCTCCGCTGACTGCATGACCCCAATGCATGATGGGAAACTTCTGGCTGTCTTCGGATCAAAGAGCTGATTGGCTCTTAGATTTGAAAACAAACAACACGTTAAGTAGAAAATCCTAATTTTCTGTGTAATTGTAATACGTAACGCTAGATTGTAATAATATTAATATATAAGGTAATTTATTAAGCATCTGTAAATACTATTTATTGAGAAAGCCTACATCCAACTTGATGTCAACATTTTTTCAGTCAGAGCACTGGAATGTGTCCATCGATTAATGATTGGTTAGGTAAAGTTAGAAAGATATTGACAGATTCGGACTTCCCGGTTCAATAAATCGTTAACGAAACGTTGCTAAAATACAAACGATACCTCCCTGTAACCGTAGTGAGGTAGACAACAAGCTACAACCTTAATTGAAGTCTTACGGACTCCTCCGAGCTGGACAATCTGCATTGGTCTCAATGAGCGGCCGGCTGCGAGACGAGTGCGCAGGGACCGTCTACAAAGTGCAATGCGGAAAATACCTACTAAAAAAATACCTACTAAATAAATGATTTTGATAATTTTTTGTGAATATTTATTAAAAATAATATTCAATAGCTTTACTGTTATAGTGTAGTGTGACCAAAATCACTTTTGACAGGTGCTGTCAAATTCTCTTTCTGGTGACGATTCCAAGTGACATTAAAGTATCAGTGATTTGGTCAAACCAGTAACCATTAGAGAACTACAAACATACAGTTAATTTAAAGCTCAATTAAAGAAATGGTGAGTTAGTACCCAACTCTGTCAGCACTAGAATGTAACTGCTTCTCTGTCCGTGTTGAACTTTCCCTCGTCTGCCGGTCGACCCTCATCTACCTGCATGCTTGTCTTTTATTGTTGTTTAGCTGTGTCTGACTGATTTATGTATTTCACATACTCTGCATGCTTTTATGTTTTGTGCCTCTGACATGGATGTTTTTTAGTGTCTAAAAACTGCAGCATAATATTCTCTTTAGTGCACGTTTCTATTTAACATACAGGTGCATCTCAATGAATTAGAATATCATCGAAAAGTTAATTTATTTCAGTAATTCAATTCAAAAAGTGAAACCCATATATTATATAGATTCATTACACACAAGGCGATATATTTCATGTGTTTATTTCTTTTCATTTTGATGATTATGGCTTACAGCTAATGAAAACCCCAAATTCAGTATCTCACAAAATTAGAATATTACATAAGACAAATTAAAAAAAAGGATTTATAATACAGAAATGTTGGTCTACTGAAAAGTATGTCCATATACAGTATGCACTCAACACTTGGTCGGGGCTCCTTTTTCATGAATTACTGCATCAATGCGCCGTGGCACGGTGGCGATGAGCCTGTGGCCCTGCTGAGGTGTTATGGAAGCCCAGGTTGCTTTGATAGGGGCCTTCAGCTCGTCTGCATTGTTGGGTCTGATGTCTCTCATCTTCCTCTTGACAATACCTTGACAAAACATAAAAGCATGCAGAGTATGTGAAATACATAAATCAGTCAGACACAGCTAAACAACAATAAAAGACAAGCATGCAGGTAGATGAGGGTCGACCGACAGACGAGGGAAAGTTCAACACGGACAGAGAAGCAGTTACATTCTAGTGCTGACAGAGTTGGGTACTAACTCACCACTTCTTTAATTGAGCTTTAAATTAACTGTATGTTTGTAGTTCTCTAATGGTTACTGGTTTGACCAAATCACTGATACTTTAATGTCACTTGGAATCGTCACCAGAAAGAGAATTTGACAGCACCTGTCAAAAGTGATTTTGGTCACACTACACTATAACAGTAAAGCTATTGAATATTATTTTTAATAAATATTCACAAAAAATTATCAAAATCATTTATTTTCAAAATAACACTTGTTGTACAACAAGGAGGAGCCCATTGATGTGTGAAGTGATTTTGGTTACACTACATTGCATGACAGTGAAGCTATTGAATATTGTTGTAGTAGGTATTTTCCGCATTGCACTTTGTAGACGGTCCCTGCGCACTCGTCTCGCAGCCGGCCGCTCATTGAGACCAATGCAGATTGTCCAGCTCGGAGGAGTCCGTAAGACTTCAATTAAGGTTGTAGCTTGTTGTCTACCTCACTACGGTTACAGGGAGGTATCGTTTGTATTTTAGCAACGTTTCGTTAACGATTTATTGAACCGGGAAGTCCGAATCTGTCAATATCTTTCTAACTTTACCTAAGTTTCATGATTGTGAAGCATCACACAACGTATTAATAAAAGAAAAGCACAATTATCACTGATGGAAACTTGCAGCGTTGCTTTTCCTCCGTGTGGAGCCTGTTTATGTAGCTGTGATGTTTGGACTGTTGGATCAGTTTTTGAATTTCTTAAATTCACGGTTGTATGATTTAGAAATGACACTATCTTCATATATATTTATTTATATAAATATTTAAATAAATATGTCCAATCTTATATCCTCAATTATATTATAATAACTAAAAAATAAAATAGACATCCAAACTTAGACCACTGTGAAAAGTAGATTTATTGTTTTGGAAAATCCCATTTGTGTGACCTCAACATATTGAAAATACATTTGTTACATTTGTGAGATCAAATATAAAATATAAACATCTCACATCACAGATTTGCTTCCAGCGCCCTGGAATAGTATGTAATTAATACATGAAGGTTAATTAAATGCATTCATATACAGATATTTATATATTTTTATTTGGATAGTCATACAGAGCGAGAATAACGCACACAACACAAGGAAGGTATTTTCAATTTAATTTTCTTTTAATATAATCTTATTTACATTGTATTTTTTCATAAATGTTTAGTACATAGTAAGTTACAATACTCTTGCATCCATCACACAGTGAACTCAGAACCTAGAAAATGCAGATTGAAATGGTACTGCTTAACAGTCTTCAATAATCAACCGACAACAAATTTAAACTTCTTCCACAATGCTCGCTCATCATTTAGATATTTGATTTCATTCACTTTGTTGGAGGATCAATGGCTGCAAAGATACTTTGTTCATTCATGGTGGTCTTGAGGACAGGGACTACTGTTCTCTAACATCCAGGTTATGGAGAATAAGAGACGGGCAGAGAAACCTCAGAAAGAAGAAAAGATGGTGAAATGGATGATGAAACATGTACGAAAAGCTTATGAGATTTTATTATACATGTAACATGAAACCAAAAGAATTCCTGAAGCCGACTCCTTCTCTCAGTCCTCGTGGCTCATTTAGATAAATATCCAGGTCACGCCCTCTGACCTCTCCAGAACATCAGTAGAGTTAAGATATGAAAATTAGGGCCGGGACGATCTTTCCCTTTCACGTCGAATAAATGTAACATGGTATTTAAAACACCAACACAGTTATCATACACTGACAAAAGTATTTCTTCCCAATGATATGGGAAAAAAAAAAAAAAAAAAATTCAATAAAACCCACTTTGTGGATTACTTGAATTGCAAGTGAATTGACCCTTGAACTCTGATAGAGGGGGTGATCAAGAGATTAGTGTGGGCTCTTTGTAGAGCAAATAGCAGCTTGGTCAGTAATCACTTAGTAATAAATAATAAAATATCAGAGTGGATCAGAGTGGTAGCAGATACAAACGGAAGAGACAAAAGGTTACCAAAACAGAAGAGCAGGCTCATTTGATCATTTTTACAGCGTAACCGGGTGCTATGCCTGACACACACACACACACACGCACGCACGCACGCACGCACGCACGCACGCACGCACGCACACACGCACACACGCACACACGCACACACGCACACACACGCACACAGTCTCCGACACACTCCCACTCACACTCTCACAAAATCACACGTACATGCACACGTTCTGGTACACGACAGTGGTTAAACATGAAGCATGAATACTACTCAATCAGCTCGTCAGACAGACAGACAGACAGACAGACAGACAGACAGACAGACAGACAGACAATCAGTCTCCGCCTTGTTCTTCACACGTCTGAATTCAAGGTCTCTGCTCCCAGGCTCGCACGTGATTGGCCGATTCTGTCCTTTTTTGACTCGAGTCAAATTCGCTGTGGTGGTAGACATTCTGAAGAATGACATCATAGCTTGTTAAAACTGAAGGATAAAAATGCTTCTTCAAAACATCTGAAAAATTTTAAAATACTTTATTTTTTTGTCTGTCGTTTCTTCTCCTTCTTCTTCTTTTTAATCCTCTCCTCTCCCGCTGTGCTTCCTCCTTTAACCGCCAACAGTTCGGTGGTGAAGGGGTGGCAGGAGGCCGCGTGTTTGTTGTGATGCTTGGCCGCTCCGTATACTCCGTGTATACTTGATATTCTGCTGATGTCTGTGTGTATATATATGTAAAAAGTCAAATAGTTTGTGTGCAAGTGCAAGCGTGACCGTTGGTTTGTGGATCGGTCACTCCACAGCGAAGCCGCAGGTCTCCTCCACAGCCGTCAGCAGTTTCTCGTAGAGCTTCTCGTAAGACTCGTAGGGAGGGACGTCTATCCGGTTAAAACTAGGGACGGAAAAGGACAATTAGTTACGTCACCTGCAAATATGAAAACCTGCATCCTCTTCTGTTACGTGTCCTCACCATGTGTGAGCCTTGGGCAGGTTGTCTGTGTTGGCGTCTATCAAGTGGATGGTGAAGAGCCTTGGTCCTGCAGAACCTGTAGAACCTTACACACACACATTCTAGTTATCACTGCTCTACTCTGGTGCACAGAACACTCTTCAGTCTACAGAGAGTGAAAGATCACATCAATTAGGTGATGCTTTCAATGTCATGCTATTGCAATTTTAGTATCTACAACTGCACATTAAACAATGACTTCTAAAAAAGTGTGGGTTTGTATTTGTTGATTTTGTTGTTGTTGAGAATTAATTAAAAAAAGATTTGAATAATCAAAAAAAAATCATCAACTTCAGTTTTGTCATACTAGTAGAATATATATCCACACACTTAGATCTATGCAGAGAACATGTACATGTACATAGTCATTGATGGGAGTACAGTGTGTGTGTGTGTGTGTGTCTGAGTAGGTGCATGTCCCACCCTGCAGTGCTTTGAACCCTTGTAAAGGGACTCTGGTGGAGCCCGTGACGAACTGCAGGAGGCGTCCTCTCCTCTCCTCGCTGAAGGCCTCCACCGCCTGCCAGAACCACCGCACCACGTTGCTTTCGCTTGTGCAGTGCTTCAGCCGCGTGTTCGTCTTCCAGTCCGCAAGATCGATCTTCCCCAGTCCACCGATGATCAACTGGAGGCCAGGGAGAGGTTTGAGGAATAGATTAAAAAAGAAGCAATGGTTGGCATGGCAAACATAATGAATTAGGACTTAAAATAATAATAATATGGCAAGTGATGTACCTCAAGTTCTTTATGGTCGAAAGGTTTGAGGAGGTGCTGGGGGATGAGCTCACTGAATCCCTTCTGTAGAGCCAGAAACTGGGCTTCTATTCCACGCATAAACCTCCAGTTCACATAAAGCCTGAGGACACACACACACACACACACACACACACACACACACACACACACACAGTGCAGGTTAAATAACTACACTGCAATAAACTGGCTCTTTCTGCTGACAAGACAGTATATTGTTTACTCTCTGTATCAAGGGCATAGTTCGGACACCCACACCTATGATGGAGCAACACTGTCTCACTCTCTCACCTGACGTATTCCTTTTTGTTGTCCTCAGTGACGGGGATATTGCGGCCATTAGGTTTGAGTTCATGTTGTGAGAACTTCCCAAAGGCATTGTGCTCCACGCAGAATGTGTGGTCGAGGACTGAAGTGATGTCGTTCTCTCTGCACGAAAAGCGTGAGAACAAGTTAACACAAAATAAATGTAAAGATCTAGTTCATGGTGAAAAAGCCCTCTGCTGTCAGACTCGACTCGTGTGCCCAGTGCGTTTGCTCACAGTATCCACACGAGGCTCTTGTGCAACTCCGGGTCGGTGGTCTCCAGGTCGTTGAGCTGGATGGGTTTGCCTAGCAGCTGTTTGTAGAAGGGCAGCGTGAAGCTCCCGTTGATGTAGTGACCGTGAAAAACGGCCAGGCCCATCACGCGGCCCACAAAGTGGAAATATGACAGGTGGTCCTGAAAGAAGAGTCACACGGCCGGAGAGACATTCAGAGGCGGTCACATAGGATCAGAGAGGATCGCCGCACTCAGGTCGAGCGTGGAGTGCTTCGCGTGCGTGTGCGCGTGTGTGTGTGCGTGTGTGTGTGTACACTCACAGGGTTGATGGAGGAGTCGGGGTTGATCTGTAGTGTGTAGATATTGTCTGTGGAGTACTGGAACAGGCCGTAATAGGGGTTCAACATTTCATGACACAGCAGGTACAGCCACTCCCTACAGACAACCACCACATTGTTAACACATGTTAAAAACTCTCAGAGACACATTAATTAATCATTGAACAATGAGCAAAACATATATGATGTCGTCCCTGGGTCCTCTGAATTCTCCCGTTTTTTAAAAAACCAGCAGCTCTAATGAACAGATGTAGCGCTTAAACACGTAGAGCTGCTTTGCGTTGAACATGTCCTCCCTTGTGGAGGCGCTGCAGCTGCAGGTTAAGTCCACTAACTGGATGTTAAGGAAATAAAATGTTCAAATTGAAACAACCAAAAACAATAGCAGAAAAATAGGCTGAGGGAATTAGTCCATAACACTCCCTAAATTCTCGTTGAAGCATTTTTAGCGATATGGCGTATTTCTGAAAGCTGTAAATGAAGTGGGAATAAAAATATAGACTTATGAATGTAATACTTGAACGCTACTTAGCATGGTGATGGACTCATGGGATGTGGCTTATGAAAAAGCAACGCTTGGAAAAGTTTGCTGACAAATATGAAAGTCCTCCAACAAATGTTGAAGTGCTCAGAGATGTGAATAATTACCTGGCCACGCCCCCATAGTCAAGGCCCTCCTCTCCTCTGAACTTCACCATCAGACGCTTCTTCAGGTCTTTGGGCCTCATCTTCATTATTTGCCGATATGACTCCTGATACACACACACACACACACACACACACAAACGTTAGCACATTATCAAAAACCAGAAGGGCCCCACAACACAGCCCCCTGATATCAGAGATGTTCTATGAAACGGTTTATTATTATGCCCACCAGTGCAGCTTTTGTGCTATTCAGAGAAAGACAATGTCTGGTTGTTGTGACTGCTGTATGAGTCAGGAGGAGTGTGTCTGTATCAATGTATTCGCTACCCACTCTACCCACACTGCTTTCATGGATCTATCTGCGTGTGCGTGAGCGAGACAGCAGCATGGTCTGGTGTTTGGAGAGACTCACCTCAAAGATCTCCTCCCGGGACACCTCTATGCGACAGTGTCCTGCTTGAGGCTGCTGCAAGGACAGCTCGTGGCGGAGCAGCTTTAACTTATGGACCAAGTCTCTCTCGTAGCGCGCCGCCACGTCTCCGTCTCCTCCGCCGACTCCTCCGCCAACTACCCCTTCCTCGCCCCCCACGTCCATCTGGGGGGCTTGTGAGGACTCTTTCGCTTGGGACTGCTGGCTGGAGGTGGGAAGAAGAAGAGGAGGAGGAAGATGATGAGGACGGGGAAGAGACAACATGACAGCAAAAAAAGAGCAGCCCTAATCTAATTACAGACGCTCAGAGCAGCTAAATCTACTACGATTCAGTGTTATCAGCAGCACTGATGACTGTTAGTAGGTCATGTTCAGAAGCAGTCTGACTTCAGCGTCACAGCCGTGAGAGATTAACGACAGATTAGTCTTGAAACCACTTATTTGGTATGGCGTCATGGATATCTGCCACCCAGGTGTTGATTGACTTTGCCACGAGTACGCGTGCGTGTACCTGATAATGGTGTGTAGGCGCGGGTCTGTGAACTGCGTGGTTCGGTTGTTGTGGTCCACAAAGTAGATCCGGCCCGACACCGTGCTCCGGACCTCCCAGCCCGCTGGCAGCGGCCCAAGCTCCTCACAGCTCACACTGGCCAGGTCCCTGCAGCGGTAACAAGTGAGCAGACCGAGACTTACAACACGGTGAGACCGCAGCCGTCAACCAGACCGGCCTCAATATTGACCCCACATACTGTACGTTCTTAACCCCTCGTACTGATCTGAGCCCAGGCGCCAGGGGCCGAGGGAAACAACACGAGACTCTCTCTAAATCTGTTGGTGTGATTAGTGTAGAACAGAGGAGAACGGTGCATCGGGGAGCAGCATGGAGTAAGAAAGCGGGGGCTTATTTCCATAAATTGCTGAATATATATTCAAATATGTAATTTCTCAGTCCCAATAGAATAATCCTGTAAATTGCAACGCTTTACAAAGATGCAGTATAGTTGCTGCATAATCTAGAACACATCCCATGTGTGGTGGTTTCTTTCTCTTATATCCTTCTCAGTGTCTGCTGCTGCTACGACCTCGTCTGTCCGAGGGGTTTATTGAAGGTTCGTCTCGTGTTTGGACTTGACTCGAGTGAAGTGAGGCGTGATCGTACCGCGGTATCCGAGGGTCGTGCCAGGTGCTGACGCCCGTCTGCGTGTGAAGGAAGTACACCTGGCCCTGCACTGTTGTCCGTTGCTCTGTTTTAAAACGAAGAAGAAAGACGTCACATGACTTTCTAAATGCAACACGAGATATTTAGAGATGACTGGAAACGTCAAGAGTAGTGTGTGACTGACCGTATCCCTCCGGCAGGTCAGGCGGTTGGTGCCCATGCGGTCTGTTCTGAGGGGTGTGGCCATGGCCTCTTGAGTCCTGCCCTCTGATTCGCTGCGTCTGAAGGCGGCCCTCCTGACCGGGTGAGTCAAGTCGACAGTTCCCGCCCCCTGCCGCCCCGGTGGGGTCCGAGTAGGGCAGCGGCTCTTCACTGAAACATCCCTCAAACACAGGCCTGCAAAAACGCACACATGTCACTGAAGTCCTATTCTCTCTGTTTTACTGAAGCAGCAACCTCTGGCTCAGACAAGTGAAGTGCCTTAAATATGCATTCTCTCTACTGGCCAGCAGGGGGCGACTTCTCTGGTTGTATAGAAGTCTATGAGAAAATGACTACTTCTCACTTGATTTATCACCTCAGTACACATTGAAAACATGAGTTTATGGTCTCAAACGCTTTCAAGTCTTCTTCAACACAAAATGATGTTGATTTAGCAAATTATGGTCCAATTTAAAGTAAAATAGACGATAAATCGGGGTGTGCTTTAGGTCGACAGAATGGGAAAGCATCAAACAAATGGCAACTATGACTAAAGTGATCTTGCAACACGACAAAGCACCCAAAATAGGTCTCAGTCCAACTCCGCATGGGATCCCAATATGGTGAAGAAGAGCTGTATCAGCACATTTAAGGCTGGTATTTTAAACTGTATTTTAGTTTATTTTGTTGCTTCATTCAGAAAGCAGACTTTTGACGTTACCAGTGACAAAAACAAGACTGTGGCTTTTCCTCATCTTTCTCTAAATGTTACAACTGAGAAAGCGATACAGAATAACAACAGTTTCTCTCAGAGTTACTTTATAGCGCTGGCAGCACACACGCATCTGTTGACACACTCACCCATCGTTTTCTAACAGTCCTCTACAGTCCACCACGGGACCTCCACTGCCGATGCGGTCTCTCGTCTGTAAGCTCACTAGAAACAAGCAGGTGGTAAAGGTCAGAGGGACGATGGGGCGACACGTGGAGAGAGGTGACGGGGGGTCATTTGTACCCATAATACATCTGTGTGCGTCCGGCCTTACCTACTATCTGCCCCCGCACCGCGTCACTGTCCGACGGGTTCAGCTTACATAGATCTAGACGCTGGTCTGGAAGAAGAGGGGGGAAAAGGAAACGTGAACCAAAAGCCTTTCCTCTTTGATTAACGTCTGTGATTCGCATTCATGTGGGCAGAGACAAAAAAAAGAAAGAAAGACGGACTTACATCCTGTGTCTTTTAGCCTGCTGATGGCGTTGGAGAGCAGTCGTATGCAGCCCAGGAAGCCCGCCCCTTGTCGTTTATGGATCTTCTTGTGGTTCCATATGCTGATGGTGATGGAGTCCGTCTTTCCAATGTAGCTGAAAAACAGATGGAACATCCTCATGAGTCTACTCCACGTCTTTCATCGCAGCCTGCCATCAGTGTGAGCAATCTGAATTCATCTTTTAAATCACCCAACCACGAGATGAACAAAAGAGACTGTTAGCTCAAACATAAAGTGTCTCTGACGGTCATTTCTGTTTGAAGATAAAAAGGACCAAATCTTTTACTTCTATTGTAACCTTCTCTTTAAAGAATACCAGTAAGAAAACATTCAAAAAGGTGATGTTGTGCATTAGTTGTGGTGCGGGAGACTCACAGGTCATAGTGCTGATTCCATTTGGGGTCCAGTGTGCTCTTGACTGTGTCTGTAGAGTGGCATTGACCCGATCCGTCCACCACAACCTTGGCGAATGGATCTGGCAGGCCTGCAAATTAATTGTTCGCATCCACCACAAGATCTAAGTATTAGAAATATCTCAATCGGCACTGCACATAACATATCTATATAAATGAAGCTAAACATTCTGCTTCTGCAGATATTTAGCAGATTTCTCTTCTTATCTCTACCTTTCCTCTAACCCAATAACAGCATATTGCATTTGGTTGTTGGTGCATAATGTCATCATGGCACGGTGATGGAAATGAAGACTCTTATCCTGGAGGAATGTTATGGAGGGACAACGGGGCCAGTTGGCTTACAGACCCTCATTGAAACACATCATCTCATCATGTAAACCAATCGTCATAGCGGAAGATTCATGCGCAATAATTAAAGAGGTACTTACGAAAGAAGTCTTTCTTAGCGAGGTTCTTGGCACATAATACTGCAAAAAACAGAGAATCATTATGAACAAAAGGCCATACACACACACGGAGATATGAAAATGATCTGGCTGTGTAGGCTGGTATAAATGTATGCTGGTGCACAATAAACTGTGGAGGGGAAGAATGCCGGTTAGGGTTTAATATATGAATGCCAGAGGATGTTAATGAGCAGCAAAAACTGATGTGACGTGCAGAGAATGAGCAGTAAAGTATAGGCTAGTAACACACACACACACACACACACACACACACACACACACAGAGAGTGGTAGGATGCCGTCTCTGCCACATCATCTCTGTAGATCCAGAGAGCAAAGCTCACACTGACCCAGACTTCGAGAGTTTGTAAGTGTGTGCTAAGTATTTAGTTTATTGTGTGTGTGTGTGTGTGTGTGTGTGTGTGTGTGTGTGTGTGTGTGTGCGCGCGCGCGCGCAATTCCTCGCTAGTCGTTTGCCAGACGGCCTGTTGGGTGCGAGAGCTGGCAGATGTCATTCTAGGTCAGCTCAGGAAACACGGCTGTAAAACTAAAAAAAAGAAAAAAATACACCCAACTCCAATAAACTAATTCTTCAAAACACAATCACGGAGCATCTGTCACAAGCACAGGTCTGGATTATAGGGGCAGTGTGGACACTGAACAAAAACAAGCTGCGTGTTGGTATTCAAGGCTGAGGTAATGCACTCAAAGAGTGACTGCACCGTACGGTGCGATTGACTGGAAAACCACAATAATATTTACACTGCATGTCCAAATGAGCTCTAAATATCAGCTTTTAAGCCCGTTGTTGGGAACGTGGACACGACATGAATTAGCTCTCGGTGTGTGTAAGAAACTTAGATATGTTCAGCATCTTCCAGGCCACACTGATAAAGACCAATCTAAACCACTCTGTCACCATCCAAGCAGATGGTTTGTTCTTTACACAATAGATTTTATAAGATATTGGAGGGAGGAGATCTATAAAATATTAAGACTTCTTGGTGTTCATGTGTGGGCGACAGCAATGGTACAGCCACGAGCTGGAGAAGAAGACGCCTCTTGTGGCTGCAACAAAATGGTGAACTCCGGCTACCTTCTTTGGATAAAACATTATTCCATTCAACGTCACGGTATGATTGTCGAATGTCAGTTTAGTGCATCTAAATAAAAACAAAGCCTCGGCTGGTTCCAACTGTTTAGCTTCAATCGTTAATACAGCAGCAACGTAACACCCTCATCATGTAACCCATGTTGGGTAAGGTAACATAAGGGTTTTTATGAATACCTTTGGCCCTATTTATCTGCCATTCCCTTTCAAAATAAAATGCTGACCAATGAAGGGGAATGTCTAACTATATCATGTCAATCCAGTTCCTCAGTTAGATGGGGAAGAGGCGGGGTTTGAGGGGGAAGTGGAGCGTTAGGATTGGCTGTCATGCACTACACAATTAGAGCTGAATCAACTAGTTGTGTTCAATTGCTCTGTTTTGATAATCATTTGGTTATTTTTTTAAGCCGGTTAGTTGCTTTACACTGCAAATCATTCTAAAATGAAATATCCTTATTTTCATTGTTTATTACATATTGATCAAATAAAGCAAGATATTTAAATGTCAACTAAGACTCAGGACAATTGTATTTATTCATTTTTTAATGAGATGATAGCCGGATTAATCAAGACAGTGATATGCTGACTAATCAATAATGAAAACCATTGTTAAAATATACGATCTATGCTAATTGGCCCATGGTCGGGTTGTACTGACAACACTTCGGGGCTGAAGACCGGTGCTATTGTCTTGGCTCAGGGAAAACATAAAGGCATTGATTTAAAACGGGTCCCGAACCGATTCGCCGCACCACCTGAACCCGTTATCGTGGCTTTGGAGGTCCACTTAAAAAAAAATGTGGCAGGATCGGGGTTTGGCCCAGACAGCCATCGAGGAAGTTAGTCAGCCAGTCAGCAGTTTAGGATGTGGTGGCGGAGATGTGTCTGGCGTGCCGCGGTTTTCTTTCCTGTGATTAACCCGTGGAGAATGGCTGCAGGATATCCCTCCCCTCTTCCTCATCGACCTCATCCATTCCTCCTCCTCCTGACTCAAACATTCCACACACACACAATGAAAGAAACACAGCTGGAGTGGGAGAGAATCAGGTTTCTAATTTGCCCCTGCTTCCTCTTTTCAGACAGGCAGCAGAAGGAAGAGCTTCTCTGTCGCTGTCACGGCTCTGCTACCCCCCCCTCGTTCTCATCCTCCAATCTCTCGCCAGAGACAAGCGACACTCCATATCTTTTTTTCTTTTTACGCCTCTTGACCGGCTCTTCTGACGGGCCCTTTTTTCCTCGGCGTCTGAGGAAATTCCTCATTCTGCCAAGGTCACGGCTGGTAAAGACCCACACACACAGCTCAGCTGGTTCTCAATTTCCCCACCGCCGCTTTCTTTTTTGGCCTTTATGTCCTTTCTTTTTTTTTTACCTGAGAGCTGGAGAGAACCAGCGGGGGAAGAATTCTATTCATCCAATCTTGAGGGAACACAGCAGAAACAGAACGAGGTGGTGAGAAAGGGAGCTACGTCTGTACTGCAGCTCCTCTAGCAATTTGAAACAGAACAGGTTTTAGCCCAATCAACCCCCCAAAAAAAGAAGAAAAAATGTAATTTAGCTGTACTCTTGCACCTCAAGTGCAGAGAGTACTCGCTGTTCTTCGGGTAATGACCGGAGCCATAAAACTGCAGAGGCTTAGAAGCTCGTTAAAGCTTCTTAAATCAAACACAACGGTCCCGTTCTGTGGATCCATTGCCAAACTATCTGTTCATTGAAATCAATAGGAAGAGGAGCGTTCCAGAGTACACCCACAGGTTTACAGGTGAAGCAGATCGGACCCATGTGAGATCACAACGATGTCACTTCCTGTGTAACCTTCTCCTCTACTCTGAGTAAAACAAAAGCAGCGGGCATGTGAGCAAATATCTCACCTACTTAATAACACTCTGTGCACCGGCATCTAAAAACACACACACACACACACACACACACACACACACACACACACACACA